GACCTTATTTCAGAGAGAGAGAACACAAACTGACAGGAGACAAGTCATCCCTGGGGCAGTGTGGGCTGCGCGGAGTGGGCGACAAGTCTCGCTAGCAGGGTGTGTGGCTTTCTGGAAGGCCTGTGGCTCTGGCACTTGGATTGTCCTAAGCCAGCCTCCAGCTCCTCACTGGTGCCTTCCCAGCAGTGCAGCAGGGGAGGTCTGAGTCTGATATGGGTGGGCGGGCAGCCTGCTGCTGGCCCTTTCCTCTAAGCAGAGGAAATCAGGTTTCTGCCCTGCTCAGGTTCTATGCCTACATTTAACTTAGACTGAGAATGGAATCAGGTCCCAGAAGAAATCCTGCCATCCAAAATTGTGAGAATAGAATAAAACTAGATATTTAGAAGCCTATGTGACACCAAAGTTTTAACGCTGTATTCCTTTCACAAGATTCAGTGGGGGTGTCCATTCCAAGTTGTAGTTTTCAATGACTCTGACCACTTGACTTCACCAAGCATGTTATTTTAAGTGATAAAATGGAGCTAAAATGGCCCGGATTACCTTAAAAGCCTGTGAGGATAGGAGAGGATGTGACAGTGTACATGAAAGCAAATTCTATACTGCAAAAGTTTGTCCAAATGTTAATTACCATCATTGCCTCTACTTGATAATACTTATTAGCAAGAGTGTAGGCTGGGCCTTTGACCAGGTGTGTGAAATATATTCTACATCTATGGTGTTGCTACTACTAGCGGCCCAGGCCTTTGGCAAATTCACCACTTTTTTGTAAGACAGCTTCTTTTTTTTTGCCTTCCTGGAATCCACCCCCCTCCTGAGTTTTTGGACACTCTTTAATTCTGTCTTGTTTGAGGTTCTCTAGGACACCACCCAGGGGCTCTAATGTCAGTTCTTTTTTTTTTTCTTTATTTCGGGAATCCAACCTGCAATTTCCTAGAACTACTCTCTGTTAGGCAACAAGGAGTTCAGTGAGTCTAAAGAATATCACACCTACATAATGTTTCAGTAACTGAACTAATGACTCAATCTCAGGAAACCAAATTCCCCATAAAATGCTCCCAACTGTAACTTTCAGTCAAGCAGGTGAGTATTTGGGACCTTCAAACAATACCATATATGGGTATCCAAGGCCAGGACAAGGGACCTGCTTGTGTCTGACCATTAACGCGTTGAAAACCACCCGGACATTTTCAACAGAGCAGAATGTGTTGAGGACTTGCACCCCTCAGCCCTCTGATGGGCTGGAGTCCACATCGCTGGGCGGCTTTTACGTTAAGAAGCTGGGATTCCACAGTGTTCCCTTCAGCGTCTGCTTCACAGCTCATGGCTCCAATAAACCCACCCCCCACAAGGGAACCGACAAAGTATAGAATAGTTCCTCTGAAAATATGACAGAGAATCTCCAGGGACTACATAAATAAAAACCGCTACTTTGAAGTGACTAGGATTACAGCAAAAATAATTAACAGTGGTAAAAGAAAAATGTGAAAATAGAGAAGGATGATTTAAAAATCTGACTCAACTGCTCCTCCTAGTGCACAAAGGATGTTCTTACTTTGCTCCAGTTCTATGCTGGCAAGGAAATTGATAGCTCTAATTTACTGTGCAGCATATTATTTGGTTAGGCAAGTTTAGATCAACATAGAACCACAGAGTAAAGTGGAAGACAGGATATGTTAATTTCTTGAGATGGTATGGACTTATATTTATTAGGAGACATAAAATATGACAAAAAGAAAAACACAATAGTGCACCTCTAACAAAGTGCAAGTTTGGTTATTTCGCCAACGATTACCTAAATATATTATGTTTTATGTATATGTGGCATGGCTTTCTAGGAAGTCATCTATAACATTTATTTTGAAGGTTAAACATGGAGTCAGACAGAATTCTTGGCAAGTTCAAAAGCACAGAGTTAGGAAGCATTTCCTATAGTGAAATACAGCATGGGCACATTTTCTTTTCTGATTCTGTGTTCGCAGAAAGATGGCTTCATTGCCATGTCTCTGTACTTACTACACATTTAAGGATATCAATCTGTGTAAGTTTTAGGAGGAATCCAGTTGCACTGAATAGCAAAAGGACTAGGATAAGCACGGCTAGTGCAGAGGTGGCACAAGGTGGGCCCACACCCACTCTGAGCCTGTGCATGGGCTTCTTTTCACCAGCCGGACGTTCACTGTGTTTTCCAGATCTGTCTTCTGTGACTTAGTGGTTTATCCTTAGCTCTCATTCTGATACTTTCAAACCTCCCAAATTGTTCAGCTGTTAAAAGGTTCCAAAACAAGCAAATGTTTTCCTGGAATCCTACCCTTGACTTTGCTGGAGAGTATATACTAAGGATTCTTCTCCAGCCGACATAATAAAAGAGCTTTTAAGTGGCCGAAATTCTTGGTTGATTGCACATACATGCCAATGTCAGACAGCTATAAATAGAGAGCTGGAAGAGAGATAGGGAGTCTTTGTAACTCCAACGAAATAAAATGGAATGTTTTGAAGGCACTTGGAAAACTACATATTTTTATAAAATTAAGATTTGTCTCCCTTTAACCCTAAATACGCTTATGCAGGAAGAGTTCATATGCATTGTGCACTTCCAGTATGAGGGAATAAAAGGGCTTTTTCTTTCTTTATGGAGATGAAATTGTTACTCTCAATCGTATGATTAAGATTTTTTTATATTATGCTTTGCAGCTTGGATAGCTATTGGGTCTTTCAATGTTCTCTTCATCACTGCATTGTTTACTTAGGATATTAAAAAAACTCATCAAAGAATAAAATTATGCTCATGGTTATGGATACAAATGAAGCCAGCAGGGAACTACATGTAGCCCTCAAATGAACTGGTTTACTTACTGTAGCTCTTCCAAGAGACTGAAGGATTAATTTCTTGAGAAATTCCTACTCTCTTGAATGAGTTAACACCCCCACTAGCTTTAATAGCTGGGTTAATGCAGATCTTTAAAGGCACTGATACTTAATTTCAACAGCAACATACTTTTTTATATTAACCCAACTATCTTACATTAACCCATGTAAATTGAACCCAAATTAGTTCTTGCAAATTAGTTCACTTTACTTTGAACCTATTACCACTGTACAAGAGAATTTAGCGGTTGCTTCAGTTTAGCAGTTAGGCTTTAGACAGGCACATTAATTAGAAGAATGGGAAAAAATAGCACCTGTTTAACAGGCTTTTAATGCAGTTCTTTCTGCTTTAGATCATACTCCTGAAGGAAGAGATGTCAGAATGTCAATGACGGTTGCAAGGTCCATTTGGCGAAAGAATCAATAATCTAATTCATGTCTCTGGATTCTTAGTTTTCTTTCAATAGGCTAACGGCTATAACTTGGGTGTAAGATTCAGCACTTAATACTGGCATAACAGAAAGGAGTATCTTAATAATATCTTAGCGACGACTTTACTAGTAAAATCAGACAAACCCCCGAGGCAACAAAAAACAAGACTTATGGGAAATTAAAAAAGAAAGCGATGCTAAACAAGGCATGCTTGTAGTTTAAAAATCTTACCTCAAGCTTAACCTTTAGTATTTTCTCTAAAATATTTAAACAGTAATCTGAGTGGGACCCAGTTTTTAAAATGAATTTAAATTAGTACTAATTCTAAATTATATATTTCTAATGATGTATTCTTTACAATCGTACATAGCTGTAGCTGCTATGCTATATAAAACTTGTTGAATTGTCCTGATATTTCAAATATAGGGTTAGAAATTCAACTGCTTTATCAAGAGTTGTTTCACAAAGTAGTTACTTGGCTGGACAAAACTTTTTGAGCAATTATGAGAGGAATATGTCTAGTTATGTAATTAAGGCAGGGACTGCACACTGTGTTACATGATATACAAAAGCATTTAAATATGGTAGGCTAGTGGTTAGAAAAGGCAAAAAAGAGCAGGCACAGAACACTCCCCAAAGAGGGTGGATCCCAGGGTAGACTCCAAAAGTTTAGAACTGGCTGTTCAAATTGCAACTGCAAAGGCCCATGTTAGGCAAAAATGATATTAGTGTACTAAGTACTAAATGCAGGTTCAATACAAGTAAGTGGCTATAACTTTTCCATAATTCATCGCAATAAACTACTGCAGAACTTCATGTATTCATCCCATAAATTCCTCACCAGCATCTGTCCACTGTCTCTACTGACCACATTGATTAAAAGCATTGTAGATATGAAAAGATTTTCCTTATTTCTTATTTTCACAACTCTTGGTGTCCAAAATTAAACATGTCATAACAATAAAATGTGAGATCACATAAGTTCCCCACAGACAAAATGTTATGACAAAGAACAGTTTATTTAATCTAAGAAGTTCCAGTTCTCCAGTGTAATGTTTGCAGTGTGATGCTTACAACCAGAAGGGAATACTCTGTTATTCTGCTTTTTACCTCCAACAGTTTGGCTTTTGTAAAAAGACTCGAACAACTTTGAGAACCCAGATCTTCCTATTTCCTGAAATTTTGAAACCAGTAAATAACACAACTTCAAAGTCAGGTGGGTGAACAGAAATAGAAAAATGGAGCAAATATACTTCAAGTGATACATGTACTCAGGTTCCTAATAAGGCTTAGGGGAAAAAGTAAACTGAAAACTTTGAGATGTCAATTTTATCTAGCTCAAAAAGTTGCCACCAACTCAGAGCAGAAAGTCAGTTGGTGAGTTGTACTTTTTACACGTTCTGCTGATAAATAAAGTGTTTCTTGGAATTTAAGTACAAGATGATGGACCACAAGAATCTCAGGGTTTACAATTCTGATGAAGTGTAAAATGGCTCTAGGAGCCCAAGCCCATACTGAGTGTTGGCCCAGGCTGAACAGTACAGCCAGCACCCAGGGCTTAATAACATTCGAACAGCTAAATGAATGAGTGGCCGAACAGGTAACGGCACGAATACATGAGACAGATGCCCCGACAAATTTATCAGTTAAGTTTTCAATATCAGAAGGGAGAAAGAGAGCAGGAGCAAGATCTATAGACTTACTTATTCCACGCTTGTCTAAGGTTTTTGGAGCTGTACAGGGTAAAGCGTTCTGAAATAAAAGAGAAAAGTGATAAACAATCTTTGTACCAAATGTAAGACAACACAAATTTTAAAAAAAGATGGTGTACTATTTGGTTGTAGGTTAGGCATAGCGAGGTCTTTACCTCTCAACCGGGCCGTTTATAAAGAGTAAGTAGAAGATCTTAACATTGTAACCATGAAACATTTTTGCCCATTTATTTTATAATCTAATGTCTTCAGTAATTATTTCTTAGAATAGCCAAGTTTTAAGAAATTGAAAATAGAAATGCAAGTTCCAAATCTATAAACTCTAAGTAGATTTGTACAACACTGCTATATCAGTCACGTGAGACTGGGTATCTTTTTGAAGACGTCTCTGACAACATGCAGTTGTGTTGGGCTTTCCTTCTCTATGTTACATAGTTACATGGTATTTACAGTTGCTCAAAAGTAAAGTACCCATGTTTCATACTGATTAACATTTATCATTGAATAATCTTTATCGTATCTTCTAAAGTTAAAAGAATATGAGTTTCACCAGGTTAAACAATAACATGACTGGAATAGATAACCAGTTTCAACTGTTCCCTGCTTTTCACTCCTGATATAGCAATTCTCGATGACTTATTCATAGTTCTCTTTTTACATATTTTCTTATAAATACATTTATACATATATACAAAATCCACGAATGCGAGCAGATATATTATCTCCTTTAAAAATGGACTGTACAATAAACACAACTCTGAAATTTTTTAGTATTGTGGCCATTAATTGTGGTATATCAACCTGACTTCAGCGAGAACTGCCTATCAAATTTATCAAATTGGTAAAGCACTGTGTGTGTGTGTGTGTGTGTGTGTGTGTGTGTGTGTGTGTGTGTGATTAACATTAGGGGAGCAAACTGAGTGGGTCAGACCAACCCTGGATATGGGTGGCGTCAACCAACAGGATGAAATCAAAAGGGAAAGATGAAGGAAGCATCCTTGTTTTGCAAAGCTCTGGTCTTCATTTGCCACTGCTTTTGGACATCAGACTCTAGTTTCTTCAGCTTCCAACACAGACTGCACTGGCAACTTCAGAGATATTCCAGGCTCTGACCTTGCACTGGTGCTGCATTCTGGATCCCTTTGGTTCTGTAGCTTCCATTTTTTCTGTGCTGAACACCTACTGGATCCTCCAGCTCTCCAGTACACAGACAGCCATTGTGGACTCTTTTGCTTCTGAACCTGCAGATGGCCACTCAGGACTCTTCCATCTCTCATCCTGTAAGCCTACCTCATATATCCCCTTGTAAAATTATCCATATATTTTCCATTGATTCTGTTTCTCTAGAGAACCCTAATACAGCCATTGAATCATACGGAGTCTTTCAAATCAAAACAACGTATGTAGCAATTGTTTTAAATTTGTCTAAGTTCCTAGAATAAAATGACCATAACTTACTGGAGAAACTTTTAAATAGTTTCCAGTTCCTTTTCCGTACTAAACAATGTTTCAGTAAATGTTGTGGCACATCTGTCTCTATATAGGATACTTTTCATTTCTGTCTGATAGATTCTCTAATATAAAGCTGCTTGGCAAACTTTGTATGTTTTATGTTTTAATACATGTTGAAGGGTTACTTTCCATTTTCCCATCAGCAAAGAAAATGAATGTTTCTTTCTCTACATATTCCAGCACAAGTTATCGGTATTTCGTATTGTGCCAAATCTGTGTTTGATGAAAAATTCTTGGGCTTCTTCTCATATGCTCTCTGTTCATTTGCATTTGCTCTTCTATTTCAATTTCACTTCTCATAGCTGGTACTGATTTGAACATTGAGGCTATGGTCCTTTAACAGTTTATAGAGGATTTAATTTTTTTAAAGTATATGATCAAGTTGTTTCACACACACAGTAATGCATCGCACAACTGCATTTTGGTTAATGACAGGCTGTATATGTGTAGGCCAATGATCCCAAGAGATTACAAAGGATGTGAAAAATACCTCCTACTTGGTGCTATCACAGCCCTTGTATTTGGCAGCACAATGTATTACACACGTTTGTGGGACGTTGGTGCAAAGTAACTGTGCTAAGAGTTGTATAAAAGTATAACACATACAATTATGTAAAGTGCACAGTGCTTGCTAATGTTACAGAAAAATGACTATATTATTGGATATGTATTAACTCCACTGGTACTTTTAATTGTTCGAGTGTGTTCTTGCTACTGCCATAAAGACAAAAAGTAATTGGAAAGCAGCCCCGGCTGGGGCCTTCAGGAGGGATTCATAGTTCTCTATGCGGAGGCACTGCTGGGACAACAGGTGGCAGATCTACGAGTGTCCCTGCCCCAGAAGACCTTCTAGTGACGTGTGGAGACAGAGACGACGAGGATCCTGGCTCAGCATGTAGGCCTAGGATAATGTATGTGTTCGTGTCTTAGGGTTTAACAAAAAAGTTTAAAATGTAAAAACAACTTAAGCGTATAGAGAAAGAATATTAAAAAAATCTTTGTATGACTGTACAATGTATGTTTTGAAGCTATGCCTTCTTACAAATGGGTCAAAACATTTTTAAAAATTCAAAAGCTTATAAAGCAAAGAAAAATTACAGTAGGCTGAGGTTAACTTATTATTAAAGAAAGAAAACACTTGCCACGAACCTCGCGTGGCACAGAACACAGTGCCTGTAAAGTTCAAGCTGCGCACGGCAGGGGCCTGGGCATGGCACTCTCTCACCTCGCTCCAGACTTGCAAGCTCCAGATTTGCCAGCCCACTCACGCTAACACCCTCCGCAGGTGCTTCATTCTTATCTTGCATTCTTACTGTGTTTTTCTGCGCTTTGACACAGAAATACTCCTGTGTTGCAGCTGCCTGCAGTGCTCGGTGCACCCCTTAGAGCCCGGGAGCCATGGCTGCCCCGTGAAGCCAGCTGTGCTGTGGGAGGCTCTGGAAGCTAGGGTTGTGTTATGTACATGCTACGATGTTCACAACAACATCACCAACCACACCTGCTTAAAACATGCTGCCGTCTTTAAGCAACAGATGACTCTGTGTGTGTACATACGCCCATTTAAGTATCTGGAAGTAATTTTTAAATATGGCATGACATAGTTCTCTCTTTAAGAAGGCCGGATAATTATGCCAGAACTATGTAATATATCAATCATCCTTTGAAATGATACATTTATTATATACTGTTCTAAAATATACCAGAACTTCGATTTTGTATGCTCAACTACTTATGCTAGTGCCATACAATTTTAATTAGAAATGCCTCTTATTATCTTTTAGAAAATATCTATTCATACTAGTATCTTTTGTTTTGTAAAGATTATCAGGGTGAGTCTGGACATTTCTTTAGTCAACAGTGCCGCACATCTTTAGAAACCTAACATGTGTTAAGGGTTGTTCTCAGTCTGAGAATACAGGCACAAATGAAATACGTTGCTTCCCCCATGGAGCTTAAACTCTAGATGAACAAGTCAGGCAGATAATTAAAACATAAATACCACAAACACCACAAGCAACAAAAACATGTAAATACTAGTCTTAGAAAGCAGTAAGAGTTCAAGCAAAGTAAAACAAGGAGATGTTTTACTGAGGCCAGGACAGCAGGAGCACAGAACCCAGGAAAAGGGGTCAGGAGGGCAAGGGGCCTTTAAGTAATGACCCAGGCTTCTTCTTTAAAGGATCACTCTAAGGATCCTTCTCTGTTTGAAGAATACATTTCAGGAGGCAGGACCAGAAGCAGGGAGACCAGTAAAAGGTTATTATAGCTGCATAGAAGAGAGACTGTGTGACTGGAGCAATGGTAAGAGAATGAACCAGGGAGGAGGAGGAGGAGGGGGAGGAGGAGGAGGAGGAGGAGAAAAAGGAAAAGGTAGCAGGGAGGAAAAGGCAGGGGGAGGAGGAGGTGGTAGTGATTCAGGTTACAAGAGCAGACCATTGGCCTTGGAGGGTTTGAATTCAAGATCCTTGTGGCACATTCCAGTGGGCTGCTATATAAAGAAGTCTGCTGTTCAAAGGAGGCAGAAGTGAGTGGG